CCGACGTGTCATGTAAACCTTACTCGCCTCGAAGTATGTTGTCATTTTAATAATACAATGGTCACTCCCCAAGGTCTCATTTAAAACTTGCCAATGGATATTTAAACTTATATCTGATGACGCTAGAGAAATATCGGGTGACGATTGTTGTAACATACCGTTAACTGCTTTAATTCGTGTGTGTTCCCCGGTATTTAAAGAAATTAAGTTGTTTTCAACCAGTGCCTCAAAAATGTGATTACCCCTCCTATCAGTTTTATTCGACCAATTGGAGTGATGCCCATTAAAGTCTCCCAAAAGCAAAGTGTGTTCATTTGCACCAGAAAATAAATGTTCCCAGTCCAATTGGCTAATGTTTATCGTTGGTGGGCAATATAGTGATATAATATTGTGAATTTGGTGACAGTTAAAAACTTTGACGTGTAAACATTCTATTCCTGGGTTAGGGGATAACACCCCATTATGTATTTGACTTCTAATAGATTTATGTGTGAGTATTGCTACCCCCCCATAGGAATCGTCCCTGTCTTTCCGAAATATATTGTAATCTTTGATTTTAAAGCTAATTTCTGATTGCAACCAAGTTTCGCTTAATACTGCTATGTGAATCTTGTCTTGTATTAACAAATTTTCAAATTCATTTAATTTTGGTTTGATACTTTGGCAGTTCCATTGAATAATGTTTAATTTGGTAATATTCTTACAGTTAACTGGCATTACAAAAATAGTCCATTATTAATTTCAGTACAGGCCAATCCGTCACATTGTCAACAACTACTAAAATAACCCATTCAATGCACGTTTTAATAACTCCTTTCCAAATCATTGAAGTAGTGTTTCCTTTCATAAATATAATCTCTTGCAGTCTTTGTAACAACTCTTTGAAACTCACATCCTTTTGCCTTTTGTCAGTTTTACATGAGTTTTGTGATTCCGTTTCATTCTGATCTACTTCGAAACTATTCCACTTCATCCAATCTTCCTCTGTCGATTTATTCTGTTTTTTATGAGAACTTTGTTTAGGTTTCTGTTTATGTACTTGTGCCGTCGTTGTCACTTCCGCGTAAGTTAGATGTTTATTAGTAATTTCCGTGGGAGTTAGGCTTATCTCTTTGTCCGATGAAACATTTATTGGAATTTCTTTTATTACTTCTTCTCCTTCATGTATTCCTTCGTTTTTCGGTACGTATAAAGTTAAAGCTCTTCTATAAGTACAGTTATACTCCGACATGAGTTCTCTTAATCTCTTTTCTTTAATAAAGTAAGGGCAACTTTTTGACAGAGATATGTGTTGTCCTTTACAATTAACGCATGTCATTTTAGAGATTTCACAGTTAGCATGGTTTCCGCCACATTTTGGGCATACCACTTTATTACTTGGACATCTTTTAAGAACGTGCCCGAATTTCCAGCAGCGCGAACATTGCGAAACTGGAAAGACATACGGTTCTACCGCTATTTTCAAACCGTGTGTAAACACGTAACGTGGTAAGTATGACCCTTTAAAGCATAAACGCACCGCTTCACTCGGCGACCATCCATCCCTTTCGACATTTCTTCGATTCAAGCGATTGACAGACAAAAGTTTGGCTGGTTCAGGACAGGATATATTTTCTAGAATTTCCTCTTCCGACATATCAAGATCTACATCTCTTATCACCCCATAGGATTTATTCTTTTCCATAGCTCTCTGAATTTGCCATCCCAAATCTATGAAGTATTGGCACATTTCAAGTTTTTCCGCGCTGATCTCACTGGTTAATTCTATTCGCACTCGGTACGGATTTATAAATTTAACCCGTGTGATATCATTGATGTTTTGCTCCTTCAGTAATTTGGCCAGATTAAACTGTTTTGGAAGTTTTTCATTGTTTGATATGTATAATTCAATCTTTTCTGTTTCTTTTCGCTTTTTCTGTTTAACTTCCGTCCACTCCTCATCGCTGCTACTTCTCATCCTTTTCTTATTATCGTCTTCTACAAACTCATCGAAATTCACATTCATCGAATCTTTATTTAACTCATTACTTGCATCTTCGTTATCGCTCATTTTACTCGTAAACAATTCACATCTACTTCGGCGCAGGTAGCTGGCCTTGACTGGCCGACCGCGTACCACACTTTCTTAGTTCGCCTGCACTAAACAGTAAAGTCGCTCGTTCAACGTTAACAATAACACGACCGATTCGTGCGAACACCGCGACGAGACGTCTCCTCCGTTTTTGCAAGCACTGATAGCTTACCATCAGGCAACTTTAAGGTTATGTAATGTACTATATGTGAGGTGTTTTCCGGTGCTATTGTTGTTCCTTATACTTTTCTGTAGAAATGAGCGTATCCAGAGGTTTGGTAATAATTATATACTAGATATTGTCATTACTTTAATGAATAGTTACAGGTCATAAGGTAATATCACATTCATTAATTGACAGCCCCTCCTTGACAAACAGATATTCGTAATTTTCATTCATTTCTTTTCAAATTCTACAGTAAGCATCTAACTTTAAAATATAATCATGAATTTTGTATCATGAGACCTTTTACGAAAATGGCAATGTAAAAATATTTATTTATCTTAACATTTTTGGGTTCGGCGGTTATGGCGGACGGTTCTTTCTTCTTCAAAGGGAAACCCCACAGACTCCTGTTTGGTAGTGACATAGGTACAATTCATGAGGTTGGAAATGCCGATAAGAAATCTTATGTTGTTAAACTACCTACTGTCTCAGGACGACATCACAGAAACACAAGGTAATATTGCCGGAAAAATTGTAGTGGCTAAGGTTATATTTGTGGAATTTTATATTGAAGAGAAATCGTGAAGAAATATTAATTTTTTACTTAAATGATTTAAAAAATCAGACTCTGTATGTTATATAGAAACATTATAAGTAGGTAATTAAATAGATATCAGTACATTATGTAGATGATAACACTCTCGAGTACTCACAAACTGGAGGCGGAGTTTGATACAACAATAGATTAGAAAGAGACAGAGATACACAGGCTTGTCAATAACACGGGACGAAGCTTAGGGGATAATTCCTTTTGTCAAAAGTTGTTTACGTATTTCTTCTCTATTATTCTTCAGAAGATTACCTTTCTAAGTAGTATTTAGTTGTGAATTTCAATAATGACGCTAATGACTTTGTTTACAAAATTTTGATGGTATTTTTCTTGTTTTGGGATTTAGTAGATGACAAAAATATTTGTTTGATGAACAATGAGTATTGTTGTTGTCAATAAAACTAAAAATTGTTATTTTAAAGAATTTTATTTACTTTCTTTAGGATAATTTTTTGAAAAGGAAAAGCCTTCTCTTAGTAGCTTATAAATAAAAAAGTATGTTCATTAAACACACGCACACATTGAAAGTCAGAAGTATGTACTGCAATACCCACCACGCACACGCTTATATAACAACGGATTATGATTGGTCGACGTCGATCAGTGGCCTTAGTATTATTGTATGTATCAATGACATTCGAGTACATAAATTAAGCTTTCGTTATATAAAATGCTAAACATATTTGAGGGTTGTTGCTAAAATGGTAGCCAGCAGCTAGTAGGTATATGAACTATTTTGTGACCTCATTTGTAAAGCGAGGGCTTATCTTTGCATTACATATGAGTGAAGATCTTTAAGTGATTTTTTCCGTCTTGGGTGGGGCCAGAGGGAGTATCAGGCTAACTGAAAACAATCATATTACAAAAATTATAATATTGGTCTGTAAAGCAAAATGTAATAAAATGTTATTAACAAAGTCAACAAATGACTTCTTTTTCCCAGTATAAGGGAAGAGGGAGTGTCAGACTCTTACTGACTAAAAACCGCAACGTTCTTTCTCCTGCTCCAGGCCGAGTCCGCTTACCTTACTGCGCTTGCCCCAAAACGCCGGTTGAACAACATATTAAAAAAAAAAACAATATCTACGCGGCAGTCAAAAGAAAATTAAAAGGAACAGCAGTATCTACCAAACTCGAAAGATTAATTGGCTATAAAATGCATTATTCGTTATGAAATATGGTACTCTAAGAAACAAAGAAAATAATGTTTATATTAAAGTTGCGTACTCGTAATCAGAATAAGGGGTTTCCTAAAAATTCTAGGAATAGCATGGCGTCAACGGTACCTCAAACAATAAAATCAGTAATTAAAGAGTTGCCTGTCCGGTTAATTAAACCAGTTATTAGCATTCTTAGAACAATAGAACTTGGATTACAGAATCGTTCCTGTTACTACAATGCCCTAAATTATTTATCGATGTGGAAATTGAAAATTGAAAATTTCTGTATTATTCTTAAAAAAAAATCAACTAGTGCTTGTTTTTCATTGAAAGTTTGACATAATTGTGGGTGGGTGTACTCAGAGCATTTTTATTATTACAGCTGTTAGATTTAATTTAGAAACGATGTGTCTATGTACACAGATATGAAATACTTATTCTTAGATTTTGGTTGTTATGGTTGAAATAAAACATATTTAAAAAAAAAACTTAAAAACATGGAGCTACTTGGTAACATATAGGTAACCGAGAAACCTACCTACTTTTTTTATTAATCGCATTTTTGTATTTGATCAATGATCTAAAAACTTCGATCATTGATAAGAAGTTTATGATGTTTCGCCTTCGATAAACATCTAAACAGGATTTTTTTAGCTGGTCAGTTCAGCGTATACTGTTCATCCACTTCTTTCTTTACGGACGGACAGACAGTATTTTCAATTATTTCTCTCATTACCGACCAACTACTGAATTGAATTATTGCAACACTTACTGGTTTAGGCTAATTATTTTATTTTTGAAAGGAATATTGAATAAATACATAAAAGTAAGTATAAAAAAGAATACCTTTTTTCCGCTTCACTAATTACCCAACACATTAAGGGTTGCGACCTTGACCATATAAATTGGAGCAAAATCCAGAGTTACGTCATGATTACCTGCGCATTCATAGAGTGCATTACTTACTTCCTACATACTTTGTTAGTTGCCAATATGGTCAATACGTCATACGAACCACAAGTACAGCTGGAACAGGGCTCTGCAGCCACTGCAGTGCCTGCTACTCAACCCCAAGGAGAAGCACGTCAACTTCTGGACTATCGCTCTTGGCTCTGTATGCAGCCAGCTAGCTGGGCTAAACCTCAGCCTTCAAAACCCATACCCCGAAAACCGAAGCGAGTGAGGACCGACTTCACAACACCGCAAGTGAACGAGTTGGAGACAGCATACGCAAAGTTCCGTTACCTCAATCAAGCTCGACGCACGCAGCTGGCGAACAAACTGCAGCTAAAGGAACATACAATAAAAATTTGGTTCCAAAACCGGCGCATGAAAGAAAAAAGGGAGCTTGCGGAGGCTCAAGAATCCTTTGGAGAAGTTTATGAAGCAGTCCCACAGCGGATCCTTCCATGCTATCCAAGCGTAGCGCAAACTTATCCAGCAGAAACTGTACCGTTTGCTCAAAATAGTACACAAGAACAATATGATTACTCCCGATACATGCACAGGGACAATGTTTCCCCAAGCAATGTACAGGGATCGTTTGAACCACATGTTCTGCCTCATACTCAAACAGTTTATCCGCTAATAGATTCTCAAGAAGTTACTTCACTGGGGTCTACTAAAGAAGAAATTGTTCAGAATCTGTTCCTCATTGAACAGCAGTACATGGCAAGGCACACAGATCCGAGTCCAACTGAAGATGAACATTCCTCACCTTATTTCAATCCGGAGCAATCATGTATGTATGGGGATACGACTCCATTTGCCAGTATCCCTGAACAACAATACCCCACCCACTCTGAATTGAACGCTTATCCCGAATCAGAAGAAGATCTGTCTACAGCAGAACAGCTGATTCAAAATATTCCCTCAAATCTGATGGAGTTGCCGTGTGACATATACTTCGAAGACGTTAATATTTATTATAGTAACAAATGGTCTTCAAATTCGAGCTAAATTGTTATGCATTGTTAAACGATCACAATTTTAATATATTTTAATAAATGTTATTAAAAGAAATATTTATTTCTTTATTCTTTATAAAAGTACACCCGTATAACATATGGAATGATTACAAAGTATGTAGTATTGAGATAATTATGGGTAATAAAAAATCCCAAATTAAGTCACAACTAAAGTCTCCGTCCTGCTTACAAGTTCAGTTGTTTTTAAATAATCAGAACCCACATAAAAACTGTTGTTAATTCTTTAACCAACAAAATTAAATCTTCTTCAAAAGATTAGAGACTATCTTTGAGTTTTTAATTTGGTCTTCAGAAACACACTTTAAGGCATCTTATTTAATTAGGTATTAGACGTACATGATGTACGTTTGATGTAATATGTACTACAACACATTTATACGTTTTATTATTTTGTTGGAAATGTTCTAAAAGCACGTAATATGCGTGGATTATATTATGCATCTAAAGTGATTCCTTCTCTTTAATGGACTCATATTATTTATGTTATTATTCCTAGACCCTTTAGTTCAGCCAGTAAATCAGCAATACATATATTATAAGAATCTTAATATATTGTTTTCGGCTTATACCCGGTTTCTGAAGGCGTCGATTATGTTTAAAATAGTTGTTGGTTCAATAAAGTTATCAATAAGATAAACGTCGGTTAACTGTCACTGCGTTTCTGAATACGCAACGAGCCGTTCAATAACTATGTAAAGGATAGAAAGTTCCTTAATTTGCCAATAGATGGATCTTTTAAGGATAACAACTAAATTTTGATTTTATTTATTCTATTTCAGCTTTATTACATGTTTATTAGGTAATTTTTCTTTTCAAAGTTATAAGTTATCAAAAACTGTTTATTTAAAATATAATATTAATTTGTTATTTAACATTGGCTGTATTGAACACCTTCTCAGTGTCAATTAGAAAAAAAAGAAACGTCAAACAGACATTGTTGTCGGTTGCTTTGGTCGGTTGTAGGTACTTGAGAGCTAACTTTGCTATTTCCTTACTAACTTTATATACCACTCTTGACACTGTACTTTTATGAACGTTTATGTCATCACCGATCAGAACTTTGACTGCACGATTGGTGCGGTGGTTAGGCAACTGGCTGCCGTGCAACGTGTCGCGGGTTCGATTCCCGCACGGAACAACTATTTGTGTGATCCACAAATTGTTGTTCCGGGTCTGGGTGTCATGTGTATGTGAAATTGTATGTTTGTAACAGCACCAACGACACAGGAGAAAATCCTAATGCGGGGCAACGTTACGCAGGGCTGATGATATCACTGATATGTATCACAGTATTCTTGTTAAAACGATATCTTAAAGTAAACTCTTCATCAGTAAACATTTCTAAAGGATTTCTCCTTTGTCTTAAAATTCTGGGTACAGAAATACTAGAAATAAACTCTAGTACCTACTTCCATATCGGACTCAGATGAACTTTTTGTATGTAATATGCTCCTATTCATTGCTCTTCCATTATTAGCAACTAAAGCAACTTTTACTTATTGAAATAATTTTAAAATTTACCACAAAATTGTATAGTTTGACATTCGAAACGTCAAATAAAGTTATGGAACTGATAAACGGCACCAAATGGCGAGTTAAGATAGCTTTAGTTTAAACGAAGTTTATCTAACAATGCAATGCTCAGAAACATACTTGTAAGAGTTATCGAACCAATAGCGCTATCGAATCGATAAACCGCCGTTAACTGTACCTCAGAAACCGGGCATTAGTCACGTAATTGTTTGACGAGATACTCGACTACTTTCAAGAGTTTAGGAAGGTCCTTTACTCGGCTAGAGGCCCATATTCATGAGCAGCTTAAAAATAGGAAAGAAAAAACATAATAATTAATTAATTAAATTAGTATGTCTCATGAAAGTTATAATAAAAGAAAAAAATATTAGATATATTAGATTACTTTTTAAAACAGTAGATAATAAAAGAGTTAACGTATTTTTTTTACTTTATGATTAGCAATCTCAGCTCTGCCCTCTGCAACTTCAGGTATGTAGTGACAATGGTGTTGCCGACCTTTTGGGGATTGGGGAGTGTCCAACTCACTGTGAGACCGTTTGTCGTTCAAAAGCATTTAATTATAGACTAATTGAAATATTAAGTATTGTATGATTTGACTTTTGAATAGTTTGTTAATGGTGCAAGAGGGAGAGAAGGATTGGGGCCTCTTTTCGACGAAACGTGGTTGGAGGCATAATGTAATGGAGACGTGTATTGCAGATATATGATGGTATTGGTTTTTGTAGTGTTGCAGCTTGCTGCAGATACCTAAGTGAGGGAGAGCTATGCTTCGACACGAATGCGTCGGCTCGACCGGAGTTATACCACAGTCTCACAGAAAAATGGTGTGAAACAACCACAGCGTTGTGTTTCACAGTGAGAGTGAGGTTACCAGAGGCCCAACCCGTCCCCTCCCCCAATTCCCCCCAATCCTAAAATCTCCAAACCCAATTAAATTAATCCGTTGTTGCGGGTGTCCATGGGCGGCGCTGATTGCTTACCATGCTCGTTTGCCGACCTATCAAATAAAATAAAACTAAAAATATAAAAAATCCCCGACGATTAAGATCACTTACAAGTAAAAAATAATAAAAATGAGCTCTATTTCTTTTCTTTTATTATTTACTATTTTTTTACTGTCCCCAGACGCGACGCATTTTGTTATTTTTTTACTTTTTTAAGAAATCTTAGTATTCGGGGAGCTTTAAATTATTAATTTATTTGTTTATTGTACACTTTTTATAGGTATTTTATATTGTATTTTCGATTAAGTTATCAATATTACCTTTCAGTGCGCTTTCATTTGAGACCACACTAGAATATATTTGCAGACCTTCGGTTATCCTTCCCCACTTAGGTACACACCCGTAACTTCTAAAGGGCTCAACCGATTTTCATCAAACATTTATAAGAACACAAGCACGTAAGTCACCTTTAATAAAAAAAAAAAACAAACTGAAATCGCTTCATCCGTTCAGGCTCCAGGATGCCACAGATAGACAGACAGGCAGACAGACACGTCAAACTTTTTTCCGTAGGGAGTAAAACAGATTTCCTTTTTCTTAAAACCAAGGCCCTGGCTAACATTTTATTATGGGGAGTGGGTGAATTTCTCAAATCATATATTTTTTTTCATTTTTTTTTAATAGCTCGGCAACCGAGCCGGCGGATTACCTAATGGTAAGCAATCAGCGCCGCCCATGGACACTCGCAACGGAGGAGTTACGAGTGCGTTGCCGACCTTTTAGGGATTAGGGATTTGGAGATTTAGGGATTTAGGAGGGATTGGGGGAGAGGAAGGATTGGGCCTCCGGTAACCCCACTCACACGGCGAAACACAAAGCTGTGGTTATTTCACGCCGGTTTTCTGTGAGGCCGTGGTATCACTCCGGTCGGACCGACCCATTCGTGCCGAAGCATGGCTCTCCCACATTTAAATTCAATAAATTCATAATTAGTAGGTAGGAAATACTCATATTTTTTATTCAAATTTAAAAAGATATAAATAAATTCATAACACCAACTTTTTTTTAAACCGGTGCTGTCCGTTTGTTAAAAAAATATAATGAATGCACATAACTTATTTTATTTCATACTAGCTTCTGCCAGCGACTTCGTCCGCTTGAAAAAGTGATTTCTGGCAGATTTCTGGTTTTACCCACATAGTTCCCGATCTCGTACGGAAAACGGGAATAGGGACGTTCTCTTTTTGAATTCCCGGGATAAAAACTATCCTATGGCTGTACAAAATTTTAACCAAATCGGTTCAGTAGTTAAGGCCTGAAAAAAAGACAGGCAGAGTTAGTTTCGAATTTATAATATTAGTTTGGATCTCGCTATAGGTATGGTAAGATGAAGTGTAACTGATTCGTAATGTTTTCAATTATATAAATAAAAATATAAAATATCAAATATAATTTAGTAGTGCATTTGAAAAGTTGTAAAAAAGAAAGTACCTAATCCAAAACTGGCGTATAATTATACCTCTTCCTTAAATATTAATGATTTACTAATACATCGTTTATAAATCATTAGTAGGTAATTATTGCTTAAGGATACAAAAATGTTGAAAATGTCGATGATTATCCAGTATTATTAGCGGCCTACCACGTTACTATTATATTCAAAATAAAACTTGAATAAAAGTAAAATGAATGGTGGTGATGACTAAAATCATTTCATGTATTGAGAATGTTTTTAAATGTAATGTAATCTTTAATTTTAGTGGCTTTTGTTCTTAAACTTGTCAGCCCCGAATAGCGGTTATCGGAATGCCGTGGTGGCCCGGAGGTTAAGGAGCCCGCTTCTCATGCATGAGGGTGTGGGTTCGAACCTGGCAAGTACCAATGTGACTTTTTCAGAGTTATATGTACTTTATGTTGATTATTTAGACACCACTGACATACGGTGAAGTTAAACATCGTGAGGAAACCTGGACTTAATTTCTAATTATAAGTAAGAAAAATAATTTCTAATTATAAGTTTGAAATCGCCAACCCGCATTGAGCAAGCGTGGTGATTAATGCTCTAACCTTCTCCGTGTGAGAAGAGGCCTTTGCTCAGCAGTGGGCACTTATGGGCTGATGATGATACTTAGGTACTAGCTTTTGCCCGCGACTCCGTTCCTGCAGATTTTTGGTATAAAAACTATCCTATGTCCTTTCTCAAGTTCCAAACTATGTCTGTACCAAATTTCTCAGAAATCGTTTTAGTAGTTTAGGCGTGAAAACAAGACAGACAGACAGAGTTACTTTCGCAACATTAGTTTGGATTTGCTTTAAATATGAATTTGTGAGATTCAGGGTAAGAACCAAACATGTATATGTTCTTTTACTATGTATGTACTTTGTATGTTTGTTAACTATGTGTGTAGTTTACCGTTTCACCATCTTTATGCCCCTCTAATTTTGTGCTATCATCACTATAATCATATCAGCCAAGGTTCCGTGGTATAGGCCTGGAGCAGGAGAAGGAACAGGGCGTTTTAGTTAAGAGTGACATTTCTTCTCTCCATAACATGGATGAGACAAGCCATTTGATGTTTTCCCACCCACAAAAAATATAAGTCATCCGCTGCTAAACATAGGTTTCCCTAATTGGCTTCCAGGTCAACGACCTGCATCCAGTACCTAATCCAGCCTATTTACTTTTATTGGATCGCTGTTATCTTTTTAATGTTTTTTTTTTATGTTGAGTATTTTCATTATATATTTTCTTTCATTTAAATATGAGAGCTGCAGCTAGAATTTAGCTGAAGAGAAATAGAATTCTCTGCGGAACAATTGAGTTGTTGCTGCTCGAGTAGTATACTCTCGTCTTCAATATCTCACCTCATTATGCTTTGCGGGCTTACTTAACAGTGAGAGTTGGCAGGCGGGTCGAAAATCAAGTATAGCAGAGCCCTACTCCCCGCAATTAATGACTTTATTTGCTGGTTTTAGTAGTTCTAGTCAGAGAGGAAATGCCGGCTTCGTCAAAATTTTTATACTTAGATAATTTTGCCGTAAAAAAGTGACGTTTTATAGTCTATTTGCATTGCCTTGTGAATCAACGATTTTATTTTTTTAATAGTATTGATTGTGATAATATTTTTATTTATCTGCGGTTTACATTTCAAAAATAAAGATTCAAAATTTATATGAAGTTTTTTAATCTTACATATAAAATAGATGGCTGTTTGTTAATCTCGCTAAAACTAAGAACTGCTGAATTGATTTGGCTAATTTTAGTCTTCAAATGTTCTTAGAAGGCTTTAAACAAGAGAAAATATGTAAAAATTTCAAGTAAAACCAATGATTTTCTTCCGCACAAGCTGCACTGTATGTAATTTTTTTTTTGTTTTATGAAAACGTGGCCCCACATTAGGATTTTCTCCTGTGTCATGGGTGCGGTTACAAACATACAATTTCACACACACGTTGTTCCGTGCGGGAATCGAACCCACCGTGCAGTCTGATGAAAATGAATTATTTCTTTCATATAGTTTTACACTTGATTTTTACATTTTTAAATATTTTGAAAAAATAAGAAAATCACTTAGAAATGTAAAAAGCAGTATCTCACTGGTTACGGGAGTTTTCAGGGCACCAGAGAAATGAATATCCGGACAATGCGCGCCGTGTCTAGAAGTACAAGCATTCTGCATCAGGTTCTTGACCCAACCATCTAACGTTAGCCTGCTTAGGTGTTTACCGAGGCTTTCAGCCGTGAGACCATTGGCAGACACGACTATCGGCACAATTATTGCAAAGTGTACATTACATCCCACATGTCGACACAATCTCATGAGCTAAATCAAGATACATATTTACTTGCTTTATCTTTTTCAGCTTTCACAACATTCTCGTCATGTGGGATTATTATATCAATTATCATTGTGCGAGGGCGACGGCTTGAACGTTCTATCATCACAATGTTAGGTTGGTTGGCTGCAATTGTCCTATTAGTGATGATAGTTCGATCCTAATATAGTGTGGCATCTCCATTCTCGAGAACTGGAGGAATTAATTATTATTAAGTATTAAATTCACGTAATTTTAGTGTCGCAGGTTTGTTTTTCGCGCGAAACAGCACTTTGTGTGATCCACAAATTGTTGTTCCGGGTCTGGGTGTCATGTTAATGTGAAATTGTATGTAGTTAGTGTAGTTTTCTTAACAGAAAAAAATGTGGCGGCAAAGAGTTTGCCTGGGCAGTAAGTTATTTAAATAAATGTTATGTAGGAACAATACAATGTAAAATGAAATAGGTTTGTACTGCTGGGATCTTGAAATTTTAAAGTAAACAAAATTGCTAAAATTTTTATTTTTATAATTCCTACGTTGTGTGTTCAAGGGGTCATAATTAAAATTACATTAAATGCACAGACACGCAGTCTTAAAAAAAGATTCTACAAAGATTCTGAAATTAAAAATCTAAAGAAAAACTTAAAGATTTATTTAAAAGTTGCTTCTGATATAGTCTAAGATCCCGATATAAAATGACCTTCACCGAGATGTTTATTTGATGAGACATATTTTATATTCAATTTCATTTGCCAATAATTATATTCCATATGGGTTGCCTAATAAATTTTAGTCCAGGATATGATCAATTGATAATTTAATAAAGATTTTTTTTTAATATTTGACCGGTTTGACTATTACACAAATTCCATTCCAATCGAAAGTATGAAGCCCATAGAATATGCTAACGTTAGGTTGCCTATTCTTTTCCAGTCATAACTCTCGGGTTGCCAGGTATAAACAGGTAAATCGACAGGTAGTAGCATTTTATACCGGTCAGATAATTTAATCAAATTTAAATGAAAATAAAGATTATTTAATTATAAACACGGTAAAATAGGGTTGCCTGCGAAAAGCAGTCCTGAATTACGGTTGTCGAATTTTAAATATTATTAAGAAATAACTTTGAAAAAAATTAATAATAAATTCTATTGAAAAAAAAAAAAAAGTTATAATAGGTATATAAACTTATAATAGTGTCGTTCAATAGTGTGTATCAGAAGTTTCTGGCGCCAATCCCAATCACCCACAGCCAAGAGGCGAGTTTGTATTAAGACGATACTGCACCAACTAAATTGTGAGTTTGATAAGAGGAAAGTTAACAAGGAGATTCAGTCCATGAAATTGATAGATTTACATACCTACCTACCACCAAAGGGACCAAATATATCTAAGTGTGCTTATATTAGGCTATCATTATTATATTAGGTATTCACCAAGAAAGGCGAAAGGTGCTAGTTCGATTGCTGTCACTGGAGAAGACATCATAGGGCACGACTGGTGTTTATATTACACAAATTATCCTGCAGGGCGGCTTGTCCCTCGGTCCTCTAAGAGGATGATTTTGACTTTAGGCATAAAAATGGTTTGTGTGCAAAATGAGTAGATAAAATATTTTTAAACATGGCATTTATTATTTACAAAATTAAATAATACATTACAACGGAGTCAATATCAGTTGTTCATCCGATTCATCGGACCACAAGAAGTTGTTTAGTTCACTGGGAGCATCTGGAGCCGGAAGCTCTGGGAAAGGCAGACTTATTTCTATCTGAGGTCGAAGTGGCCCTTCATGTTGGAAAGGTTCTGTATGCATATTGCCAGGAGAAATTATAGAATGAGCATCCCCACACCCGTACTGGGAACATGGATACTGTTCTGCGAGGTTAGACGCGGTAGCAACATCAGGGTAACTCGGCGGTACGGGTTGATAGTGCACTATCTGACTTTGAGTATTTTCAGGACTTTCTGAAGAAGAGCTTTGGCTCTCTGCCCGATCCTTTTTTTCCTTCATGCGCCGATTTTGGAACCAAATTTTTACGGTACGCTCATTGAGTTGCAATGTTTCGGCGAGTTGCAGCCGCGACGTCCGGGACAAAAACGGAGTCAGCTTAAACTCATTTTCGAGAGCTAGCAGTTGATCCGTCGTGAATGCGGTTCTCACGCGTTTGGGTTTCTTAGGCATGGTTGAAGGACCCTGGGGTCTCACCATCGGCCATCCGTTTGGTTGCCCGTTGTGCCAAATATGGTGGTTTGGATTACACGCAGTCGCTGGAATTGGTACAGCTGCATTCTGGTGTGGTATCCAATGAGAGAACTGTGGACAATAGAAAAGCTAATTAAGTCAACAATAAATACCCACGGTAAAGCTTAATAGTCGCTAAAGGATTATGTAGGCACTGCTGATTGCCGACGAACATTGTTAAGATGAGTTGTCTTGTCAGAAATCATATCAAATATAAGGGAATAAATAATATAAAACTAAATATATTACCGGTGGATTTATCGATCCTGGTGCAGGAAAACCATTGGTCGCACTATGAAATGCTGGTGGTTGATTCGGATTCATCTTGTGATTAAGATTGACTGGGAAGGAAATACACTGGAAGAAAGTAACGTACTATCTGAGAGCACAGTTAGCTATGTCGCCAGTCCAGATTGTGCTCTAATTTATATGGGCATGTTTGCAACCCTTAATTAAGTGCGTAATTAGGGAACGAGCTTAAGGTATGGGTAAACAATTAGCAAATGAAAATCAATATTTTAATTGTTTTTATTGTGTGTTAATGATTATTTTGAAATTAAAAATATTTTTACGTGTTCTAATAATTTGAACTTTAACCCTGTGCATAGTTTTACTAGGCATAACACAATCCGAAGTGATAACATTCTTCGGTGTTTGTAATAAAAAGTGTATTCTGTGGGCTGTGCTGTATTCTCTTTTAGACGGATTCTACTTGGATATAGAACTAAAAATTGTTTTTAAAATGTATCGTTTACCAACGTCTACCAATCTAATCTAGTAGATATTTGTAATCGGTCACTTCAACGTTATATTTATTATGAGTTTTGATCGTAAAGTTTGTTATCTTGTTTTATATAATAGGATGGCAATCGAGCAGACGGTTGGTAAGCAATCAACGACGCTAATAGACACCCGCAACAATAGAGGAGTTACTAGTGTGTTGACGACCTTCTTGGGATTATGGTTTTGGAGATATAGAGATTGGCGAAGGGGAAGGATTGGGCCTCCGGTAACCTAAGTCAGAGAAATGGATGAATTCATAATTTGCCTATAATTTTATACTAGATATTCTCGTTAATTTAATGAATAGTTACGTGCCATAAGTCATATTTCTTAATTGACTGCATCTCTTTAATAAATAGCTTTTCGTATAGAAGAAAGGGGAAATCATAGCTCAAATTTATTGGAGCAACTAAAATTGATTTTTATACGAAGACAATTTTATTATTTTTCTACGTTTTTTCATTAACCAGTCAAAGTCGGGTAAAAAAGATATTTGAAATGAAAAGTACTTTTTCTGCCAAGTGACGACAAGTTTCAGCAAGTACAGCATTATTGTATTAAAATCTGTTTTTGTTTGTTATTATAATTAAATGGAGTGAATGAATGAACAATATTGTTTATTTCTTACTCGAAGTGTTCTTTACAGGGAAATAAAAATATTGTAGTGTCAAATTAAATGAATTACTTTCAATTACACGTCACATATTCAGGAAGCAATATTATGTGTATCTACATTTTAATAGAAAATGATATTCCTGGTAGGAGAGGAATCAGCGAGTATTGCTGTAATTGCTTAGTTGGTCGGCGCACAGTAGGATGTTGCGCTTGTGAGATTTGGTATATAAAAGATCAATTGAATATATTATAAAATCTTTGAAATCTCATGAATAAGTAAAGACATAAACATAAAGTGAACAAATAATAAAATATATTAGACATTTTCTATTATTTTAATTATGTTCAACAGCAATATAAAAAAGAACAATTACATAAAAAGAGAGAATTCACTTAACTTAGCTCAACGCCAACCCGCCAAAAAAGTGTCATACATTATTTTACAACATTATTCGGAACAGTCATACTTTCCCGCCAAAATTGACCAAACAGAGACAAGCAAACTTTCTAGACAAATAACTAAATTTACAATTGCAATCAACTAATTTAAACAAAACAAATCATATTTAAAACTTATAGCGATCATTTTAATATTTATTTTAATCATTAAACATGTAAGCTTTTAGATATCAAATTTAATAAACATTAAACAATAACAATGGTAACCTCGTTTTCATGTGCGTTTTCAGAGACAGTTAACATTAAGAAATATTCAATAATTTTTATTTAAAGTTTCTTTACAGAGATAGGTAGTTAAATATAAAAAATATACAATAATCTGTCACGCTCATGTCATGACGCTAGTCTGGTATTTAGGATGGGCCAGAAATCTGCAAAATATTTCAGTACCTGCAAAATTTCTGGATTTTCTGAATAATTGTAAGAGTGGATGATGAAGAATGAATATTAACTAATTAGAAAAATCTTTTTTATTGATTCTTATGAACATACGTACTCAACATATTCCAGACACATTCTAGGATTTTATAAACCCTGTTTTACCTGAATGTTAGCAAGTATTTATACAATACATAATATTATAATCCTATTGCTTCAATGTATAAAACAATGCTGACGGTGGCTGGCAGCCTCAGTCATATTATACACAGTCATGTAGTACGTATACCTAAGGTAAGGCCTACCAAAGAGTATTTATACCTTTGCAAAGCAAAGCATACTTAAAAACTGGGTAGGGTAGGTAACATAAATACTAATGCAATATTGCTCTTTTAACTTCCTCAAATTGAGATAACCGTTGACATAACCTACAAAAATATGACGAATTGTGGCTTTCTCGTAGTAAAATTCTTGCAGGCAATAATTAAATACTTATTGCCGAATTTAACAAGATATTTTTCATTTAAAGACGCAAGAGTTTAATCTCAGCTAACATTAATGTACCTATGGGCGGCTGCCATTGTCCCTTAGTCCTTTTCTTTTAATTAGTTACGTCAAATTATGAAGCGCTACTATAAAATTCTACATATTCGATTCCCTTAAATAAAAACATTATTACGTGGGCAAGATCTATTTCAGATAGCTGAACCCATTGCCCACACTGTATAATATATGAAACTGGCGAATAAATAATAGATTATATGTATACATGGTGTAGGTGATTTTTTTTTTTTTGTGAGGTGAAAGTCATCAAATGACTTCTCCCGCCCAGGGTCAGGCGGGAGGGAGTGTCAGACTCTTACTGACTAAAACCCCCTGTTCCTACTCCTGCTCTAGGCCGAGGTCACGGTGCCTTATTGCGCTTACCCCGCAACCCCGGCTGAACATCAGCCCTATAGGGCCCCGTCTGTGGTGGTCTATTGGCTCTTCGAGGCGCGCGCGGAACGCTACGCGCCGTACGCTCGGGTCTGGTTCTGGTCGGGCGGCGAGCTACCCTTACTCGTCGCCCGCGCTTACGGTGGCCGGAGATCATCTCTCAACACATACATTCATGTACATATATAGTATGTATAAGTTAGAGGTGGATTTAAATACAAAAACTACAATTTAGAATGAGACGGAGATATGGCTTGTCAATCACTACAAAGGACTCTGGGTTCCTGTTATTGCCAATAACTGTTTTTTTTTGTGAGGGGAAAATCACCAAATGACTTCTCCTGCCCAGGGACGGGCGGGAGGGAGTGCCAGACTCTTACTGACTAAAAACCCCCTGTTCCTTCTGCTCTGGGCCGAGGTTGCGGTGCCTCATTGCGCTTACCCCGCAACCCCGGCTGAACATCAGCCCTATGAGGCCCCGTCTGTGGTGGTCTGTTGACCCTTTGAGGCGCGCGCGGAACGCTACGCGCCGTATGCTCGGGTCTGCCAAAAGCTGTTTACATGATATTTGCACATTGTTCTTCTTTATTATTCAAGTATAATGATTATTTTTCTATGCAGTATGGAAATAGTTGTTATTTTACTCTTCAATCGTTGTAATTCGAGACACAATAGTAAGTCAATAGGTGCACGAACGGTTTTCACTTGTTGAATATAATACTACACTAATATACTAATCACTTTGTTTACAACATTCTGATGGCATTTTTGGTTAAATGTTTTTGGATTTACATTTGGAATTAGGTAACATGGTATTTATTTAAATGAACATAGGAATTTGTTATTATGTGTAAAATATGACAATTGTTTAATTTAGGTTATAAACTAGAAAAGATGTGACGTTTATAGACTGTACATTTTAGTTAAAACGTACAAGGTTAGTTTAAGAGTAGTAAGTATCTGAATAATTGTGAGTAACAATATTGGTGAAAATCGACGTACTGAATTTAAAAAATATATTACTTTTATTTGAAGATTGCAGGCTTTCTTAGAATACAAAATAAATTGTAAAGTACGACAAGACTTTTGACTTATGTGATATATATTGAATACTTCTTATCGACTTACCGTGCGTTAGGTACTTTAAAACGAATATTATTATGTTATTTATTTTATTTAGATAGGTACTATCTAAAAATGTAAAATAGTAAGTAATAGGTGTTTACGTATGAAATTGAGTTTCTGCCGTACTGGCTATCAACATTACATTTAATTTTCTAATCTATTCTTCTAGTATTTTAGATGCGACGCTTTGTGTATTGACATTATTTGTAATCAACTTTCAGTATAACTTCTATGTTCCTATCCCCACTTTGACTGTTCACTGTATACTTGACGAATACTTTAAATTTTCTACTTAACCCTGTACACTCGCCAGGAAAAGATAGTGCGAGTAACTTAAAAAAAAAAATAATTTTCGTTAGAATTAATTTTGTAGGATTTTTTTCATAGATGCTAAACATATGTGGTGTAGTATTAATTAAAAGTTTATGGCGTGATGTGGGTTTATTGACACCTATATTTCACATCATTTTCACTACTATATTTTCTCTCTTATGTGTAATTCTCCAGTAACTGGGTTCATAAAGACTGGTATTAAAGTATGACTCCTATCTTGCGATTTCAATGTTCAATTGTGGGAGTTGGCGTGTATTCTTACCCGACTGCCAAAGAAGGAGGGTAATGTTTTTCGAGTGTATGTAAGTATGTATGTATGTCTGTTCCTTTGTGACCTCCTGTAGCCTAAACGGCTTGATGGATTTTGATGTTTGAGGTATCGTTAGATTTGTCTTGATTACGGGAGTGTCATAGGATACATTTTATCCTAAAAGTCCCACGGGATAAAGACATAATAATTTTTTTTTTCTAAATTTCCCTTTAAAAAAATATGTATGCGGTATCATTAGATTCATTTCAATCACGGGAGTAATTAATATAGGATACGTTTTTTCTCAAAATTCCCACGGGAACATGTTAATTCTGCGTCAACGCAAAGCAACTCATGCGTTAGCAACATCGATCACTAATAAAGAACTAGATACACAATCCCATACAAAAGTTCGCTTCAAAACTGTCGCCAACTGTATTTAGGTACTTATACTTGAAATAAAAATGCATTAATGTAAATTAAACCTTAAATGCAACTCATAGAGTTGTTTTTACAAAGTGATGTACAAAATCTTAATACTTTTTGCGACCGAAGCTCTTGACAAACACAAATCATAAGAAATTGAACCATATTCGCATGTTTTTAAGTCGAATTTACAAAGTGTCAAAAATAAGCAATAAAATTTAACGACTTCGGCTCACCGCTAGGACAAAGAATGATTGGAGTCGAAATGTCTCGTAAGAAATATATTTCTTTATAATATTTCTTTAGAAAATACGCAAATTAAAACGCATTACTTATAGTATTCTTTTCTAAAGGTTTGTTCATTTATTTAGCAATGAAACTAATGCATATAGTTATAATTCTTTTTTTTATTTTCGTCCTCCTTAATCCTTTCTATTCGAAGTCAAATAAAAAAGATGTAAAATAATAAAAAGAATATATATCTAAAGTAAGTACTGAAAATGTTGGCGTTATTGTTGTAAATTTTTCATATCGCACGGGATTTTGATGAAAGCTAAAAAAAATGTCTTTACTGCAGTTAAAATTAAATCCATTATATCTGCCTATTCCATATTTTAATAAACACAGTAAAGAATTATAATATTAAATAAAAACTATTTTTTAATAAAAAAAACAATATATAAAATTAGGAACAATAGCGTCTCCGCTAAACGGAACAGAATCAAAATCAAAAAAATCAAAACTCAAAAATGTTTATTTCGTTATTACACTATAGAAAAAGTTGTACAGTTGGTGACGTCCCCTTTTAAGCATGTAAATGCCTGTACCAGGGGGCGCCGCTCTTTTATAGCATAACTAGCGTAATAATTTACACAACTTAAGGAAGATAAAAAAATATAGTTAAAAATAAAAAATATAGAATCAATCCACGTAAACCGAACAACTTAAGTGGTCATGCTAGAGAATGATTTTACGTTTAGTATAAGTGTCTTTATAAACTGTGTGCATTATAACCCCGGTTTTTGAATACGATTTCATTTGGAAAAAGTTTTAAAGTTAATTTCTTAATAAAATATCAATATTTAAAATAGAATGATGACAATTATATAATGATAATATTATGACTAAACGAAAATATGAAATTCCATCCTTTTTTGCATCTTAGATGTGTGTGTTTTTGCAGTTTTTTAACGAGCACTGAGGCGTGTTTACCGTCGGAGCATTCGAGTGGTACTAAACTAAAACTACACCGCGATGTTGAGTTTGGTGGACTTTCAGTTGGGACATTTTTTTGCCACTGATTGTGTATCTAGTTCTTTATTAGGGCCAGTTTTTTGATCCGTAGTTAAATACGATTTGACTATTTGTTATCTTAACTATAGTCAAGAGGGTAACCAATTGTTATTACGTAATTTCATTTTTTGATGTCCACTTTAACTATAGTCAGACATAACCATTGGTTAATTTGTTGCCAGTGCAATGAACAACTTCCTCCCTAGAAAAAACGTGTTAATTTGTGGGTATTTTTCTTTAACTGACAACACTGATCAATAATGAATGAAGTTGAACCAAATGTCATTTTTGATATTTCAAAGCTTTCAAAAGTGTCTTGATTTCAAACTGAATCGTTTGGTTTTATCATAGAGATAGTATAGGTATAGAGAAGCTAATAGCGTATACGACGTGAGATAAAAAATGTCTTATATATACATTATAGGTAGGTATGTACATTAAACGGCTCACTACGGCTTTTACAGCCAATTTCACTGCAATTTACCGTATTAATTTACCGTATTGGTTCGATTTAAATATTAAAATAAAGTATAATTACGCTAAAAAGGGACAAGAAACATATGTTTTGTCTTGCTCACACCTACATATATTCCATTTGCACTTTCTCGCTGTAACCATTATTATTGTTTTAATAGCTTGTCTATTATATTCTCTGTCTATGGGTTTTAATAGTGTTTTCTTAAACTTGGTGTTTTTTGCATCAAATAAAGGACTTTTTATTAAATAATAATGTCAGGAAACAAGTAAGGAAATGACTTTCTTTATATGTCTTATAAGTGTGGGAGAGCCATGCTTCGGCACGAATGGGTCGGCTCGACCGGAGTGATACCACGGCCTCACAGAAAACCGGCGTGAAACAACCACAGCGTTGTGTTTCGCCGTGTGAGTGAGGTTACCCTTAGGCCCAATCCTTCCCCTCCCCCAATCCCTCCTCAATCCCTGAGTCTCCAAATCCCTTATCCCTAAAAGATCGGCAACGCACTCGTAACTCCTCCGTAGCGGCAGTCCATTTTTTTTTTGTCAGGGGAAAATCATCCAGTGACTTCTCCCGCCCCGGGCTGGGCGGGAGGGAGTGTCAGACTCTTACTAACTAAAAACCCCCCGTTCCTTCTCCTGCTCTGGACCGAGATCGCGGTGCCTCATTGCGCTTACCCCGCAACCGTTGCGGGTGTCCATGGGCGGCGCTGATTGCTTTCCATCAGGTAATCCGTGTGCTCGTTTGCCGAACTACTACATAAAAAAATGTTATTGAATTGTCATCCATAACTCTTCAAATATTGCTGACTTTCGTGGTATTTTTACTATGTATTTTGATGTGGTATTTTATTCATCATTTCATAAATTTCCAGGGAAAACCGCAGTTCTAACTTTAAATCTTCTGAGTCTGACGCATCAAAATAACGGACAATATTTAAATTAATTGTAGATAATGTAATTCTTCGGAATGAGATCACAAAATTATACAACAAAGCAAGAATCAGCTGTCGAATCTAGTTTAACTATCCGCCATCTTGGTTAACCCGCCACCGAGCCGTGGTTAAATTATTTGACTAATAGTTAATAATTTGACAATTAGTTGAGCTAACTAATGATTAAAAAACACATTTTGTCGATATTTAACCATTAGTCAAGATTTTTAACAATTGGTTGGGTTAACTACGGATCAAAAAACCGGCCCTTAGTGATCGATGGTTAGCAAGCAAAAAGATAGGGCGTGGCCTGGCATGCGGCGCGCGGCGCGGTGCGGAGGGGGATATGCTCGAGTATACAGCCCGAATGCGGGCACACGCATAAGGGCACACGTCGTTGACGGTCGTCTCTAAATAGCGATTTTTTCGATACTTCGTCGTCTGACGCGAAACTTATAAAGTATAAATAACTCGTTCTTTTTCTTTCGTGTTTCTCTCTTTAAATTTATTCGTTCTTTCTAATTAATTAACTCGTTCTTCCGTTCTTTTTTTTGGTTCTTTCTTAAATTCTTCATATTAATTAATAATATAATAATAATTATTAATAAAAAAATAAAAACAGCTAAAAAGTTATAAATAAAAAAATTATTATTAAAAAAACAAAATACCCGACTGCACACTAAAAAAAGAGTAAAACAAGCCCCACAATACAAATTTACTGAATATAATTTATAAATGTTGATGGAAAGCATCGCAGGCGGGGACCACCTTGACCGCCACCAACGAAAATTCTGCTAAATGGTGCACAACAGAAATGACTATAAATAAGCCTCTGTTGGTCCCCGCCTGCGATGCTTTCCATCAACATTTATAAATTATATTCAGTAAATTTGTATTGTGGGGCTTGTTTTACTCTTTTTTTAGTGTGCAGTCGGGTATTTTGTTTTTTTAATAATAATTTTTTTTTAGTTATTTGTTTGCACACTTATTGGATAAAGTGTATTTTAATAACTGAAACTATTTTCTCTTTAACGTTTTATTAATAAAAGTAGGTATTAACCTTCACAGTAACATAAAGACTTTAGTTTAAACAGTACTGTGCATTTTATATAAATAAAATAATACAAAAAGTTTTTTTTTTATAATACTTTTTATTAATGAAAAACCATTATCCCTTACAGTAAGTATAGATATATGTCTATGTCTTCAATTTGCATTGGTGTCACGTCCATTAAGTCACTGGGTAAATCCGAAGCTTCAAGAAGGTTTTTAGTTTGAAGATGATAAGGATTTTCCAGGTTATTATTAATATGCTGAGTGGAACCATTTGTACATTTGGAATGCTGCTCCGATACAAGATAATTCAAAGCCTGCATCTCTTTATTTATCCTTTCCTTGGCCTCCAAGTGCTGCTTTTCAGAAACAATCAGATCCTGTAAAATGTCTTCTACAGAAGAACGCGAACTTTCATCAGAACTCTCTAGATGAATAACAGGCGTTGGATCCCTATTATTGAATGAGGCATACTGCCATAGTTCCGAATCTTGTGAGGACTGATCATTACCTTCAACTGGACGTCTGTACTGTACATCTGAGTTAAGCTCTTGGTTAAGCTGCACTTTTTGTACAAATTCCTCAAAGACTTTCAAAGGAACAGTTTTTACGGGACGCAACGTACAAAGATCAGGCTGAGTATTTCCTTGTGTGTTTTCCGGATGTTGAATGGGTTCCGTTACTAAATTTTGTGAGGGCTGCGTCTGTACAGCTGTTGCGGTAGCTGGACATCTATACTGGACGGTCGAATAGTGCTGTTCACTGTGCTGCAAATTCTGAATATTGTTTTGTGTAGAAAACTGTACATAGGCAGGCTCATTATGACCCGCAGAATGAACTTGCTGAGTAGCTCCATTGGCCCATTGGGTATAATACTGATTTTGCGGTATAATATTTTGTGGATAACGCATCTGTACAGTTTCTGCAGATGAATATCTATACTGTACCGTACTTGAGCGGTGTTGTCCACCATTCTGCAAGTTCTGAACGATTCCTTCTAAAGATGAATTTGATCCCATAGTAGAACTATTATCACACCTCACATGTTGAGTAACCCCATTTGTCCATTGGGTATGCCCGTGTTGTTGCAAAACGAAGTTCAGTGATGACTGCATTTGTGCATTTGCTGCAGCTGGCTGTTTATATTGCATGTTTGAGTGTAGTTGTCCATCAAGCCCCAAAGATGGGTTCAAAGTAATAGAACGAGCAACGGGATGCTGACGTTGTTCCAATATGATATTTTGTGCAATTGGTGTAGTTGCTGATTGATATGTATGCTCTTGGTCTGGGTAGGGAACCATAGCTTCCTGGAAGTTTACAGAGCTCTCAAGTTTCTCCTTTTTTTCTTTCATCCGCCGATTTTGGAACCATATTTTGATGGTCCGTTCACTTAGCTGCAGCATCTCTGCCAGTTCTATTCGATTAGATCGAGCCAAGTAAGGAATCCTCGAATACTCTTTCTCTAGTACCATCAGCTGTTGGGTAGTAAATCCGGTTCTAACCCGCTTTGGTTTTTTTGGTGCGGGTCTATTATTTGGCCATTGAACTGACTGTGAAGGTTGCGTATTCAGCCAAGTCCGATAGTCGGGAGGTTTTCTTTGTTGTTCTTGCACTTGATTGACAACCACTGAAGCTGGTGCTGTTCCATGTTGTGGCAACACGTACACTGAATACTGCGAAAAAGAAAGAATAGATTATAGTAGGCCGATAAAACACAGATTTCAATTAGAATAGTCATGACAGCGACATTATTTTCGCATTTAAAAAATGCAATAAAAATAGAATATATTACCGTTGGGTTTGTCGATGTAGCGAAACCGTTACTTCCATTATGAGGCCCTGGCGGTTGATTCGATTGGTTCATCTTGTAATCATTATTGAGGAATTATGGAAGACCTTTAGTAACGTGTTGTATGAATGCACAGTTACCTTTAACTCCGCCACGATTTTGCTCTAATTTATAAGCTTGTTAGAACCTTTTAGCAAATTGTAATTAGTGAACCGGTAAAATGATTAGTAAATGAAACGCCGTTTCTTTATATTCCAAATTTGTGTTATTAAAGGTTTTAAAGACAAAAGTAGATTTTTTAAGGGGAATTCATGAATTTGAATTTCTTAAAGCTAGCTACATCATAATTATAAAAACATTTGAATTAATAAAGCAAAAATACCTATTATAACGTCTTAGTGGCCCGGAGGTTAAGGCGCCCTGTTCCATGAGGGTGCGGGGTCAAAACCTGGCAAATACTAATGTGAATTTTCCGAGTTATGTATACTTTCTGTGTGTGTGTGTGTTTATTAGAAACCTCGGACATACGAACTTGTAAATATGAAACTAAAAGTAACATATTAAAACACCACTTATTTGTAAATACCACAGTCAACACGTGTGTCAAATAAATGATTATTTAAAATGTAATTACTAATTATACTTCGTTTATCAATTACCCATTATTTAATGAACTTCTTTGTAATTTAGAAATGGTCCTTAAAACAATACTTAGTCTTATTTAAAATGCAAAATCCGAATGCTAATCTTATTATAATCACCAAAGATATGTAGGTGTTTAGTAACTGAATGTACCAAGATACTTAAAAGGTTACAGAAATTGATACTGAAATTGTTTACGCATACGTATTGTTCATTGTTATTTACGAATATTGTTTCTGTGTAAAATTTTATTGCAATCCTTAAACTAGATTTTCGCCAATTCACAATTCCATCGTTTTAAGAAAGATTTCTTAGATTATTTAATGCAAAATTTCTGTATGTGCACTTTCGTTAATGGATTTTATAATATAAAATTTTATTTCTGGCTATTTGTTTCTTTTTTAGAAACGGTTAGTACACTTTTTGGCGCGAAACACATGATGCTTTTTTTATTTCGACAAATGAACTTTTTATTTCGACAAATCGATGAAGGTACAAATTGTTCTGATTGTTATTTTTAAGAAAAAGATCAGTAAACCTACAGAGTCGTAAATCACTGATTAAAAGAACTGTGAATAGTTTATTAATTTACCGCATTATGAGTGGCCACCAAGGACCGGAAAACATAGTGTGGGCAGGCCTCCCGCTAGGTGGACCGACGACATCGTCAGAGTCGCGGGGAGCCAATGGATGCAGGTGGCAACTTGTCATTCGATGTGGAGAGCTAAGGAGGCCTTTGTCCAGCAGTGAACGTCTTCCGGCTGATGATGATGATGATGATGATGATGATGATGATTATGTCAAATATTCATTTGTAATTACTTAGGAAATAACCATTCTAAACTAATTCTTTCAATGAAGTGTCACTGGATGGTGATTGGATGGCCAATCATAATGACGCCATCATGTTAGTAGATTACCATACTTGTCAAACAAGCTTTCCGTCCCGGCTTCGCCGGCATGTTATTCGGTTGTATTGCGCTGTTAAAGCACAACTATAAGAAACTTAGGTACTTACAGCCCCTGTCCCTGTCCCAGTTTCTCTCGCTGTCCCTGTCTTCACTGTTTTATGGATGTTATTATACTTTTAGGCACGTAGTGTGCACCACCTCTAAAAGGAGAGGGAAAATGACTAAACAGCCCATAATCACAGTATTATTATCTTGAAGCATGGCGTCGCAAAGGTGCACGCATGATTTCTGCGCAATGAGGCACCGCGACCTCGGCCCAGAGCAGGAGAAGGAACAGGGTCGTTTTTAGTCAGTAAGAGTCTGACACTCCCTCCCGCCTGGCCCTGGGCGGGAGTAGTTATTTGATGATTTTCCCTTCACAAAAAAAAACGCATGATTTCTATAAGTTTTATTGAATAGCTAGTAAATAATGTACGTACGTATAAGTGAGAGTATTATAAACGTAAAGGTAAACAAATATACTCAGAATGCTCCGAACTGCTAAGCTATCAGAAGTTACACGTGTTATTGTGAGTCAATCATAAAAGATACAAACTTTCTTTGTTTTATTGGTCAATTTGTTTTTTGTTTTATTCGTCTTCTGAGTCAGAGCTTAGTAAACTTACTGGCACTATTAAGTACCCAATTGCACATTTAGTAGTTTTTGTTATTTTGTACGAAATAATAGTTAAGTATAAAAAAAGAAATCAACAATACAGCTATTATATAGTGTGACGGAAAAGTGGTTCAAACTCTTTGACATCATGACGTCAATGGATGGTTGTCAAACGTTGCCTAGAGATTGTAAATTTCGTCGTGAATTGTCAATACGAGTTGGTGTAATTGGTAAGGCGTGTGGATTACACCACAGAGACCCCGAGTTCGAGTCCCGCCGTAAACATGAAGTTTTTTAGTTGATGGAAGTTTTGTCGAACTTTCTGGAATTATTTGTGTGAAAGAGATGAAAAATTAAAGAGTGAGAAGGAGAATAAATAGAAATGAATAGCGAAATTATTGGAAGGTTCTGGAGGCATGACGATCAAAAAGAATAACGAAATTGAATGTTCCAGAACCTGACCGGGGGTATATAAGCGGAACTGCGGCTCACCGCTGGCAGTTGAGTTCTAAGTCTAAAGCGATTCGGAAGAAAAGGAAGAAGTGAGAAAGAAGAAAAGTGAGTGAAATAGTGAAGTGCAGTGAAATAGTGCAGTGCAGTCAGTTAAGTGAGTTAAGTCAGCGTGAACGGCAAAGTTGTGTCAGTCGGCCGTACTCTGCTGGAGAGGAACGCCGATAACTTAACTCCGTGGACGCTGTAACTTAAGTGCAATAGAAAGTCTGAAAACCGGTATTAGTGTTTCATTTCATCCAATCCCGTAACCCAAGCCCGCATAGTCAGGCACGTAACATTTGGTGTCAGAAGTGGGATTGGAGAAAAATGCCGCTAGTGCCGCAGGACGTAAGAGGAGTGAGTACCCGTTCAATGTCAGAAGCGCAGCGTGTGAGGGAAGAGGGTGCTGCAGCTCAAACCAGCGATGCAGAAGCCAAGCCTGTGCAGGTGGATCTTCTGCTACAGCTGCAGCAAATGATGGCAGAGCAAGCGCGCCGCCAAGAAGAGCAAGCGCGCCGCCAAGAAGAGCAAGCGCGCTGTCAGGCAGAACAGCTGCGGGAGCTGAAAGAAGAGCAAGCGCGCCGCCAAGAAGAGCAAGCGCGCCGCCAAGAGGAGCAAGCACGCTGTCAGGCAGAACAGCTACGGGAGCAAGCACACTGTCAGGCGGAGCAGCTACGGGAGCTGAAAGAGATGCATAAGGATTTCACGAAGGGACTGCAAAAGGCTGTCGAACGGGTACAGGAAGTGGAGGAAGGGTTAGGCAAGTTGGAACATCGCGTCATGGCCATAGAGGAGAGAGTGGAAGAAGAGATCTCCAAAATCAAGCAGGAAATGACAAGCCCAAGCCCTTTGAAGAGCCGAAGCCGTCTTGCAGCCGTTTTTGACGCCCCAAATGCGGCCTCAAGCGCAACGAAAGGGCTCAAGATTCCCCATTACGACGGAACAACATCCTGGACCGCGTTCAAGCTACAGTTCGAGACACTTATGGAGGCTTATGGTTGGACTCAGAAGGAAGCACAATCAGCCCTCACCCTGGCCCTCCGTGATCAAGCGCTCTCAGTGCTGGAAGCTATCGGCGCAAGTGGGGATCTCAGCTTTAGTGCCCTCCTCGACGCACTGGAGGCACGTTTTGGAGACAGCCACCTCGAGCACGTGTACAGAGCGCAATTAAAAGAGCGTACTCAGCGTGCTAATGAGAGCCTACAGCAATGGTCCGTGGAAATCGAGAAACTTGTGCGTCGAGCTTTCCGGTCGACTCCGTCAATGATTGAAGGCACGCTTCTCCAAGCATTCATTGACGGTATTCGGGACCCCGAAGTACGAGCTGCTGTTCATCTGGGCCATCACAAGAACATGAAAGAAGCTCTGGCCCATGCATTGGAAGTGGAAGCCGTGCGTGGCAACCCCCGTACCTTAGGTCTGCGGGAAATGACGACAACGGAGCAGGTACCTCCACGCCGTCGGAACTTCATGTGCTATGGATGCGGAGAGCGTGGGCACATACGGAGCGACTGCCCGAAGAAGATGAACCGCCAGGACGCGGCGGTCTCAACTTCTGACCAGCAGGGAAACTTAAATCCAGCCAAGGCTGCGGGGTGGGCGCTGGCTGGAAGTGGAACAACCCCAACAATCTACATCAAGCAAACCAACGATGGAAATACACTGGTGATAGACGGTCAAGTAAATGGGAAAAACAGTCAGCTAACATTAGATACTGGAGCTTCAAGGACGGTGATAAATGTTCGGCTGTTTGGGCAAAACATCAGGAAACACCTTAAACCAATTGTTGGCCTACGAATGAAATCAGCTACCGGCCAGTGCATACCGATAAGTGGAAAACTGCATGTAACAATCAAAATTGGGGAACGTGTTTATCGACATGAGGTTATTGTGGCCGAAATTCTGGATGACTGCATCCTGGGACTTGACTTCCTGCAAGGGCACCAGTGTAACATCGACTTAAAATCTGGAGTATTACTATGTGGAACTGAGGAAATTCCGATGAAGGGTGGAACCCTGGGAAAAGTTTGCTGTTTAAGAAGAACTGTTCTTGCACCAAAATCACAGACTCTCGTACCAATTGCATTACCTAGGAGGAGGGAAGGAAGTTTACCTCGAAGGTGCGCTGTGATTGATAAATCGGAACACGTAAACTCATGGCTACCGGCAAGAACTGTCGTGGGGTCATCTGATGTCAACCGCATTCCGGTATTCAACTTCAGTGATTCAAAAATTACGATTGAAGAAGGAGAGCCTGTGGGCGTATTGGAAGAAGTGGCCTGGATAAGAAAATGCTCGGAAAATCTTGTGAAGAAGGACAGCACGGGAATAGACTTTGTAACGAAAATCTTAGACGAAAACAAAAGTCTGACAAAAGTGGAGACTATGAAGGCTAGAAATTTACTTCTTCGATTCTCTGATGTGTTTTCAAGAAGCGATGGTGATATTGGCCGAACTGGTTTGGTGAAGCATAAAATAAACACAGGTGATACAATGCCAATTCGTCAAAGGCCCAGACGCATACCATTCGCTCGTGAGAAAGAGGTTGAAGAAATGATTGACGATATGAGGAAAAATGACGTGATAGAGCCCTCTTCTAGCCCTTGGTGTTCACCTGTTGTGCTTGTCAAGAAGAAAGATGGTTCAACGAGGTTTTGCGTAGACTATCGACGATTGAATGATGTAACCAAGAAGGATAGCTACCCGTTACCAAGAATCGATGACACACTTGACACACTGAGTGGCATGAAATGGTTTTCAACGCTCGATCTAAAAAGCGGGTATTGGCAGGTGGATTTGGATCCCAAGGACAAGGAAAAGACCGCATTCTCAACTGGGAAGGGACTCTGGCAATTTAAGGTGATGCTATTTGGATTATGCAATGCACCGGCAACCTTTGAGCGTTTGATGGAACAGGTGCTGGCGGGACTGCTGGGCGAAACCTGCCTAGTTTACCTCGATGACATCATCATTGTTGGACGGGATTTTGACGATCATCTAAGGAAATTAGAAAAGGTACTCGACAAGCTGCGTGGAGCAAATTTAAAGTTGAGTCCAAAGAAATGCTCTTTCTTCAAGCGCGAAGTGAATTATCTAGGACATGTTATTTCTGAGAGAGGAATTGAGACTGATCCAGCCAAGACTGTCGCTGTTAAGGAATGGCCAACACCTAAAGACAAAACGCAAGTTCGGGCATTTCTTGGATTGTGCTCGTATTATCGGCGGTTTGTGAAAGGATTCTCGGACATTGCCAAGCCTTTGCATCGATTGACAGAGGAGAAACGTGCCTTTATCTGGGGCGAGGATTGTGAGCAAGCCTTTCGAGAACTAAAAGAACGGCTTTGTAACACACCAATTCTCGGATACCCCAGCGCGAAAGGAATATTCGTAGTAGATACGGATGCCAGCAATATTGGAATAGGAGGTGTCCTTTCACAACGCGATGGTGAGCAGGAGAAGGTTATTGCTTACTTCAGCAAGTCACTATCCAAGCCCGAGAGGAATTATTGCGTGACCAGGAGGGAATTGCTGGCCGTAGTCAAAACTCTGCACCATTTCAAGAAGTATTTACTGGGACGGAAATTTTTGATTAGAACTGATCACGCTGCTTTGAAATGGCTGCTTCAGTTTAAGGATCCCGAAGGCCAAGTAGCCAGATGGTTGGAACAACTTCAGGAATTTGACTTTGAAATCGAACATCGCGGAGGAAGAATTCATGGCAACGCAGATGCATTATCGAGACGCCCATGCGTGGAAGATTGCAAGCATTGTTCCAAGAAGGAAACTGCTTTTCTTAAGGTGATAAGGACTGATACTGTTGACGAGGCATGGGGAGATGATGCGATGAAATTAGAACAGGAAAGAGATGCAGATATTAAACCAATACTGGAGTGGCTACGAAGTGGTAACAAGCCAAGTTGGAGTGACGTCGCCCAATATAGCGCGGTAACGAAAGGTTTATGGGCACAGTGGAAAAGCCTTACGCTGCATAACGGACTTCTGTGCAGGAAATGGGAATCAACAAACGGCAAGGACGAGCATTTGCAATTGGTGGTGCCTCGTTCAAAAATAAGGGATGTATTGAAAGCGTTCCATGATGGATCTTCTGGAGGACATTTGGGAATTAGGAGGACTTTGGTAAAGATCAAGGAGAGGTTTTATTGGTTGCATTGCAAATATGACGTCGAAGATTGGTGCCGGAAATGCACTAGTTGTGCAGCTGTCAAGGGTCCACAAACAAGAAGCAGAGGGGCGATGAAAATCTACAATGTTGGTATGCCTTGGGAGAGAATAGCCTTAGACATCGCTGGACCATTTCCAATCACTGATTCGGGCAATCGCTACGTTTTAGTGGTTATGGATTATTTTACAAAATGGCCGGAGGTCTTTGCCATACCGAATCAAGAGGCAGTAACTGTAGCCACGAAGTTGGTAAACGAGGTATTCACCCGATTCGGAGTGCCCTTGGAGATGCACAGTGATCAAGGACGGAACTTTGAGTCCCAAGTTTTTCAGGAAACTTGTAAACTTTTGGGAATCCATAAGACTCGAACGACCCCTTATCATCCACAGTCAGATGGAATGGTCGAACGTTTCAACCAAACATTGGAACGACACTTAGCAAAGGTGGTTGACAGCCATCAGAGAGATTGGGACACTTACATACCTCTCTTCTTGCTTGCCTATCGGACTGCTGTACATGAAAGTACCGCAAAGACGCCTGCATTTGCAAATTTTGGAAGGGAATTGAGATTACCGGCAGATCTTGTATCGGGCTGTCCACCTGGCGACTCTCGCACCGAATTTAGCGATTACATAAGCGAGTTAAGGGCAAAAATGTTGGACATTTATGAACAGATCAGGGAGGCCGGTCTTCAAGCTAGTGATCGCGCAAAGACGCGCTATGATCGACGAGCCAATTCTGTTGGGTTTGAAGAGGGGTCATTGGTCTGGCTTCATAATCCAGTCAGAAGGAAGGGAAAATCTCCGAAGCTGCAACCGAGTTGGGAAGGTCCTTATGAGATAGTCACGAAGATCAATGACATTACTTACAGAATTCGGAAGACTTCAAGGAGCCCTTTGAAAGTTGTCCATATAGACAGGTTGGCGAGGTATTACGGCAGCAACGATGCTCGGGACGAGCGAATCTAAGAGGGGGGCAGTGTGACGGAAAAGTGGTTCAAACTCTTTGACATCATGACGTCAATGGATGGTTGTCAAACGTTGCCTAGAGATTGTAAATTTCGTCGTGAATTGTCAATACGAGTTGGTGTAATTGGTAAGGCGTGTGGATTACACCACAGAGACCCCGAGTTCGAGTCCCGCCGTAAACATGAAGTTTTTTAGTTGATGGAAGTTTTGTCGAACTTTCTGGAATTATTTGTGTGAAAGAGATGAAAAATTAAAGAGTGAGAAGGAGAATAAATAAAAATGAATAGCGAAATTATTGGAAGGTTCTGGAGGCATGACGATCAAAAAGAATAACGAAATTGAATGTTCCAGAACCTGACCGGGGGTATATAAGCGGAACTGCGGCTCACCGCTGGCAGTTGAGTTCTAAGTCTAAAGCGATTCGGAAGAAAAGGAAGAAGTGAGAAAGAAGAAAAGTGAGTGAAATAGTGAAGTGCAGTGAAATAGTGCAGTGCAGTCAGTTAAGTGAGTTAAGTCAGCGTGAACGGCAAAGTTGTGTCAGTCGGCCGTACTCTGCTGGAGAGGAACGCCGATAACTTAACTCCGTGGACGCTGTAACTTAAGTGCAATAGAAAGTCTGAAAACCGGTATTAGTGTTTCATTTCATCCAATCCCGTAACCCAAGCCCGCATAGTCAGGCACGTAACAATAGTATATGCTATACCGCCACTGACTAAAAATATAAAGGTATAATAAATATGCGAGTGCACGCTAGAAAAACTTGCATAACACAAAACTAACATAGGTACTCAGAAGATCGTTCTAATCGGTTATTATTACTGTTTACCAACTTCCTACCTTCCCCTCCCCCAATCCTTTTCCAATTGCAAAATCTCCAAATCCCTTATCTCCAAAAGGTCAGCAATGCACTCGTAACTCCTCCATTGTTGCGCGAGTTGATTGCTTACCATCAAGTAATCAGTATGCTTGTTTGCCGACCCATCACAAAAAAAAAATACATGAAGTCATCGTTTTTTGCTCGATTTTAGCTAAAAGCGTGTAAAAACAGGAGTCACGATACAGCAGCTGGAGTGTGGAGGTTAGAGCAGGAATACGCACATTTCTCAAACTGACATCTTTGTATATCGTTGACTGAGATATTAAGACTCAACAATAGTCGAAACTATTAAATTTTGCGTCAAAAAATAGCCTAAACCTTGTGACGTCACATGGCCTAGTTGTAGTTAGGCGGAGTTGCGGGGCAAGCGCAATAAGGCACCACGACCTCGACCTCGAATAAAAGAAGGAAAGCTCTCGCCCGTTCCTGGCTTGAAGTTTAATACCTATGTATTAAATAGTGGATAGATAAATTTAGTGTCAGCATTGTACCAAAGCAAAGCAGTCTTCCTGCCCAATCCTTAAATATCATGTATTGTTAGTGCGTTGCCGGCCTTTTGGGGATAAAGGTTTCGCCTTTATCCCCAAAAGGTTGGTGTTGCGGGTTGCGGGTATCCAAGGATGGTGCCGATTGTTTACCATCAGATAATTCGCCACAATTCTGCTCGTTAGCCGACTTAATTCGATCAAACCGCAGTAATTGAATATTTGGATTCAATAAGTTTCTCAATTTATGATCGAAGCATGTGAATCAGTATTAGATATCGATATAGTTTACCTAATTCGTTTCTTTATTTTGAATTCAGATGTGACGGTCTTCATTCTGATGTATCATTTCAATGCTACCTTTTCACACATTTTAATAGTAAAATGTACAATCGTACGAATATCAAAAACTAAACTGATTGCTTTGCTTAGCAGTGTAGTAGCGCTCTTTTGTTAAAAAATGTTGTTTTAAATATTGGGATATAATTATTGATATATTTAAATGAAAACAAAAATGCATTTATATTATTTTACTTATTTATTTTAACACTTATACAAAGGCGGACTTAATGCCCAAAGGCATTCTCTACCAGTCAACCGCAAGGGTGATACAAGTTAGAAGTTACTTAGTTATCGTACAAAAACTTCACAAGCAATGCTTAATTTACTTTATTTGAATTACTATCACTGCTATAAATTTGCTGCTGATTTCAATAGCCGGATCATTACCCTATATCACCGATGTCTGAAAAAAATCTTTAGACGACTTAAAAATTAGTTCAAACTTAACATTTTGTATTAAGATCGGCTATTGTCCGACAGATAGGTAATTGCAGAAGTCGCCATCTGTTGACAGCGGTTGTTACCGCTTTGTTGCATGTCGCTGATAGATGGCGATGTTTGCAAGTAGTGTGTAGTGTAAATGTTTATGAATATTTTTGCTTTTTTATTTAAATACATAAAGTCAAGTCAAAGACGACACTATTTCTATAATTTATTCGTGGTTACAATGTAAAAAAACAAAATACTAATATTAACTTTAAATACATACAAAAAGTAGCAACATTTTTCGTTCTCAATTACAATGTTTTTTGCTCCACGCACAAGCGCCACAGTTCCATAATAATATGCATTAATGCTCTCATAGAATATTAATGCACTAATCGGGGAGTTTATTCCGAAACCAATTGCTGAAAACTGGCCAAGTGGCTTTAGATGTAATTGGAAACTTTGGTTTGCATAAAATAATACTCTCACCCAAAACGCATAAGTACATCGTCTCCAATCCGTCAAGGACAACAAAAACTAACTTTTATAAAATTGTCCTAATTAATAAAATTAACAAAAACTACACGAAGTTCACGAATGAAAAGTAAAATATTCGATTGACTAAAAATCGATGTAAAGTACACAAAACTGAAGGGCCCAGGAGACGAGTATTTTTTTTGTGATTTTTTTTTTTTAAAACAAATTAAAGTTGTAAAAATTTTTCAATACCTGAAAAAAAACTTCGCTTTGTGGGAATATTCATCAAACATGTCTAAGGAAATTCGCCCGTAAAACACCTGTAATACAAAAAAATCTAATTTGAAATCGATTCATTCGTTCAGGAGCTATGATGCCACAGACAGACAGAAACTTATAACACCCCTCTTTTTGCGTCGGGGGTTAAAAAATATACAATACAATGTAATATAACAGTTTATAGCAAAAATCATACATGGTCAAGGTTGATATACATATGTAGAATGTCTAAAAATACTTAAAGAAGATAAAAAAAAAACAATATTGTATTTTTGTTTAAGTATTTGAATTCGGATAAATAATCTGTTCCAAATAGTAGATACCCATACCAAGATTATACATTAATTTCCTTCATTCACAGATATTGTTTATGGATTCGAATTATATTTTTTTTTTTTTTTTTTTTTTTAAAAAAAACGTTGCCCCACACTAGGATTTTCTCCTGTGTCGTGGGTGCGTTTACAAACATACAATTTCACATGCACATCACACCCAGACCCGGAACAACAATCTGTGGATCACACAAAGAGTTGTTCCGTGCGGGAATCGAACCCGCGACACGTTGCGCGGCAGCCAGTTGCCCAGCCACCGCGCCAACCGTGCAGTCAAATTTGAAATATAAATTCGTGGCTTCGAAATATTAGCTAGCTGATTAAAAAATTAAATTTGTATTTTGTTTAACGACATTTAATTTGTTATTCGAAACATCCTTTTTATTAAATCAGTACCTACTTCTGGTTTCATCATCATTGAATCACGATGGTTTTCCAAATAATCAACACAATAGACAAAAGTTTAGTATAGACGTACTACAAGAAGTATTATTAAACACTATTAAATATTATAAATGTCATTACTAAAATATCATAGTACCTACTTTTTGTGAAATAGATAAAGTACGCCCATTAAGAAGTCTCGAACGATGTCTTCAATCGACTTTAAACTTTATTACAAATCAGTTAAGTTGAACAACTTTTGACAGTTTTTTAAATGATATCTTCTAATGATAATGATATTACGGTAGTTAGTAATTAAAGATATATAACGCTTACTTAGCGGACGTTTTTCTTAGTCAGTTTATCATAAAGTTTGTGTGAGAGAGTAGATGCTGTCCTTCGATAGATAAAATAGATGGGAATAATTTAAAAATGAATCCTGGACACTTTTCTGGATATCAGTATCATATTACACATATGGTAAGTTTCTTTAACAATTTTAATTACCCTATTTTGATAGTGTGATGTTGTGTATTTCGCAACATTTCACGCTTTATTTTCCGATTAATTACTTAATTTGGATGGTTCTTTTTATTACATAATAATATGAAAAATGATATGATATTACAAATTATTAATTAGTAGCAATAAGAAAATTCAATGTTATCGGATTATTTATTTGTAGTCATCTAAGTATTAGTGTTTCGTTTTGAATAGAAATATTTGTAATAAACATATGTAAGCAAGTAATATGACTACATTGAATAAGAAACAAACACAATACCTATTCTGTGTTTTGATTGTGTTGTTTTAATTTTATTATTAATAAAAAACACAAAGCAATTACACATAAAACAAACATTACCTATGCTTAGTTTCACTTAATTATCCAAAGGTGACCCTTTGGTCACAAGCATAGGTTATGTTTGTTTTGTGTGTAATTGTTTTGTGTTTTTGTCTATCCCACATGGCAAATTGATTTTAACTTTTTTTTTATTATAAACTTAAGTCTATGACGTTAATTAAGATATTGATATATATAGATAGATTAAATATATGAAGGATAGCGAAGCATGGTTTTAAAATCTAACAATTCACAGCATTTTTTTACGGTTTTAAAGTTTTTATTTGTGATAAAAATGAATTTACTCAATTTACTTACATAGTTTCGTGTTAGTTAGCTTTTTAAGTACATTATAATAGTATTTATATATAACTTAATGGTGTAAGCTGTAATGTTGTATATGTACATTTTATAAATAAATAAATAGAATATAACTTTATTTGAAAATCTTTCAGTTGTTATTATTGTACTGTGTATACTGCATTATTACATCTTTAGCTGACCCCAAATAAATCAAAATGAAATGCAAAGTCACACTATGTACTTTGAAAGGCAGGTACACATAACAAAATAGATTTTTTTAATATAAAGATTTACTTGAGCTTTACTAAGCTGTACTATACTAGTTTTAAGTATTGCGGGTCATGGTAATTTTGTGTAACCGACTGATATAATCATAATATATAGTTACACTATCGATCTCAGAAAGAAAACCTAGAGGTAGACATGTATTGTATACAACATGATCTTTCACCAGTTATGCTATTATAAATATATTCTCTGATGCAAAAAATCGCAAGAACCGCAATAAGACTGACTGTCTCGGGGCCCGGTCGTTTCCCTTCCAACTAGTCTAATAATAAGGCAGTCAATTTTGGTTTTCCACGATACATTTATGTTTATATGTGGTGCAATAATTTTGGTTATTAAAAAACTAATTATAATGAAATTTGTTTTTAGTTACCGATGAACACACAGCCACCAAACTACCAAACCAACCAAACCAATCAAACCAACCAAAAAAAGTCTAAACGGATCCGCAGTGCATTCACAACTGACCAAATAAATTACTTAGAAGCAGAATACAATAAATTCCCGTATCTTTTAAGTGATAAGCGTAGAGAAATATCCACTGTGTTAAATATCGCCGAAAAATGCATCAAGGTTTGGTTTCAAAATCGTCGCATGAGGGAAAAAAGAGAATTCCAAGAATTACATAGCAGTATGCTAGCTAGTGGAAATGATGATTCATCAGTTAATGAACAACAGCATTCATTGCCAATGATTGAAGATGATTCTAATAAACAAATTGATCAAGTTAATGAACCTGCACCTGCAATGACGACATCAGTTGCTCAAAACGCAGTACCTGCTACTAAAATAATCCATCCTCCTTCCATATTCATAAGCACTGATCAATTATCATCGGAACCAAAAGCATCTGCTGAACTATCAATTGAGCTATGCAAAAAATACAAAGAGTTCTTTTCAAAAAAAAATTGCAATGAACAGCAGAGTGAAAAAGAGTCGGATGAAATAAAGAAAAGTCAGGAGTTGGAGATTTTGAGTACCGCAGAACAAATGGAAACAGATCAGTTAGTACAAGACAGGAACATTAATGAATCTGTGGCACATAATAGTAAAAAAAATGAACTTGTCGCATACACTAGTGAAATGAGTGAAACTATGGGATCAAACAAAAGCTTGAATGAACATGTGGCACACACAAGTAGAATGAACGAACCCGTCGCACATACAAGTCAAATGAACGAATCCGTGGCACACACAAGTCAAATATGTGAACTTGTGGCACATTCAAGTAGAACTAATGAACCTGTAGCACATTTAAGTAAAACTAATGGACCTGTAGCTCATACTAGTAAAATGAGTGCACCGGTAGCTCATACTAGTAAAATGAGTGAACCGGTAGCTCATACTAGTAAAATGAGTGAACCGGTAGCTCATACTAGTAAAATGAGTGAACCGGTAGCTCATTCTAGTAAAATGAGTGAACCGGTAGCTCATACTAGTAAAATGAGTGAACCGGTAGCTCATACTAGTAAAATGAGTGAACCGGTAGCTCATGCTAGTAAAATGAGTGAACCGGTAGCTCATACTAGTAAAATGAGTGAACCGGTAGCCCATACTAGTAAAATGACCGAACCAATGGGACCAAACAGAAGCTTAAATGAATCTGTGGCACACATAAGTAAAATGAACAAGCCTGTGGCACATACAATTCAAATGTATGAACCTGTAGCACATTCAAGTAAAACTAATGGACCTCTAGCTCATACTAGTAAAATGAGTTTACCAATGGGACCAAACAGGAGCTTAAATGACCATGCTGCACACACTAGTAATATGAACAAGCCAGTCGCACATACAAGTCAAATGTATGAACCTGTAGCTCATACTAGTAAAATGAGTGAACCAATAGGACCAAACAGGCGTTTAAATGAACCTGTGGCACACACAAGTAAAATTAACGCACCTGTGGCACAAACAAGTCAAATGTATGAACCTGTGGCACACAATAGTAAGACGAATATGCCTGTGGCACATACAAGTCAAATGTATAAACCTGTCGCACATAGTAGTAAAATGAACGAGCCTGTGGCACATACAAGTCAAATGTATAAACCTGTGGCACATAGTAGTAAAATGAACGAGCCTGTGGCACATACAAGTCAAATGTATAAACCTGTGGCACATACTAGTAAAATGAACGAACCTGTAGCACAAACTACTAAAATGAATAGACCTATGGCACAAACCAGTAGAATGAATGTTCCTATGTCGGCTCCTCAGGCTGCATCTAACAACCCTGGATTTATGTCATCAGTGCCCATGGTTCCACCGTTTTATCCGCAGGCCTTTGTCCCTTCCGTTTGGAATCCAATGGGAATGATGCCTTTTATACCGCCTGGTGTTCCGATACCTATACCTCAATCTTTAGTACAACACATGTGTTTACCTCCAGAACTGTGTAAGTGTGAATGTCATGAAAAACAAAAAGGGGTGCCACAAGATCCTCATGCGTTGCCACAGCAAAATGCGAGACCTGTATTTGTTTTTCCCGTTACTTTTCAGAAACCCTGACAAGAAAATTCTTAAGAATCTTTTTATATTATTGTATATACAATAGCTAAATATTTTACGTATACATTAAACTTTAGAATGTATTGTTTGTCGTTTCATGTTAGTAAAAATCATTACATCAAAGTTTCTTGATTAAAACGTTTTGTGTTTTATATATGTAATAAGTGACGTGATTGTAAAATGTACTAGCAATGTAGATAGTTATTTAATTATAATATTTTTGTTTCGTATGTATTTATGTCGTAAACTTATATGTAGTATGTTAGTGATTTATTACTGTTTTAAATTGGACACGCTAACGCTCGGGAGCAAACCAATCGAGTTACAAAATATTTTGTTTGTTTTTCAACGACTTTGTTTCTTTTCTTTAATCACTTACATTTTCCACATCTTGATTATTTCCAGTTATACATTATATTTCATTAGTTTGAAACATATGATATTTTGTAAGCTTTTTTTCTATTTTTTATAATTTCTATATTGAAAGGTAACCCATAAATGAATTCATTGATTTAAGATTGGCAGAACAACGAAACTTGCTTTGATAGATAAATAATCATTATGCCGGAAGCTTTATTACCTCCGATGGAAGTAGTATACAAAATATTAATCCAATAAACCTTATAGAAAAGTTGTCGAGATAATAATGTTGAAAACAAATACCTTTCTTACCATATTGAGCTTGAAATATATAAAATACTTGTGTTATAACAGGAAATAATTATAAGCAAATGTATAAACAAAAGAAGTAACTTGATTTTCTTTTCCTCCAGTTTAAATTTTATGGAGAAGGCGTATTTATGAAAATTGTGTAAAATAAATATACAAATATGAAAATTATTAGATTTTTATTTCATTTTATTTCTAAATTAAAAGTTTATTTAAAATAAACGAAAATTAAAGTTTATATTTATAAACATTATGAGAATCTGTTGAATTTTCAGCGTTTTAATCAGAAAAAGACAATTGCAATAGTAATTAAATAAATTTAAAAACAAAACAATTACAAAGTACTGTGTCTAATTTCGGTATGTGTCATGGCAAATGTCTCTTCTATTCTTTAGATTTGATTGATTGATTGTTTTTTCTTTTGAACATTGCCCCACACTATGATTTTCTTCTGCGTCGTGGGTGCGATTACAAACATACAATTTCTTCACATGCACATGACACCCAGACCCGGAATAATAATTTGTGGATCACAAAAAGAGTTATTCCGTGCGGGAATCGAACCGCGCATCAACCGTGCAGTCAAGATTGGCCCTTTTTGCTACGTTCACGCAATCGCGTACGCTTTGATCTAGTTCTGGTCGAGCTTGCATTTGGGGTCTTCTGCCAGCTTTATTTCTACCTTCCATCGTGTAGGCTTTTTTTTTGTCAGGGGAAAATCATCCAATGACTTCTCACGCCCAGGGTAAGGCGAGAGAGAGTGCCAGACTCTTACTACCCCGTCCCTTCTTCTGCTCTGGGCCGAGAAAAAAAAAATATATCGATTCGAATCGTCACTTTTGTCTGCTTTGACATGTTCGACGGTTGTTTGGTAACTTGTCGCTTATTTTTAATTGGACTGCTGAACCAAAGTAACGACAACATGTCTTATTAACAATTTGTTCCCGCCCCGGGAAGGCGAGAGAGGCCGCGGTGACTCATTGCGGTTAACCCGCAACTGCTGAACATTAGACGTATAGGGCCCTGTCTGTGGTGGTCTATTGGCGTTTTGAGGCAAGCGTGGAACACTACGCGCGGGCAGCCCTTACTCGCCGTCCGCAGACCCGCGCCTACGGTAGTCTGAGATCTTCTCTCGATCCTCGACGCCCGCAATGTCGCCTACTGCGGCGGCTGGGGCATGAGGAGGATAGTTCCCTCACGCGCTTCGTCTCCTACTTTGCGAGCATCACTGTTTCGCAGAAAGGGGTGACGGCTTCCCAGTTCCTCTCGCTAAGAACCATGGCATCGACTAAGGCCGGGCGCGAGAGGTCACCGCCGCCGATCACTTCCTCGAGGACACGGCGGTGCTCAGCCCAAGCAGGGCACACCGCCACCGTATGCTCCACCATGTCCTCTGGGTGATCCTCACAGTGACGACACTCGGGCGTTTCGTCCCGCCGGATCCGAAACAGGAACCTACTACCTACCTACTGACGCTGCCGTGCCCGGTAAGCACCTGCGCCAGGCGGAAGGTGAGGACGCTGTGGCGGCTCTCAAGCCACTCCTCAAAGAGGGGTCTTACCGTTGCTATAACAGCGTACCCGATCGGATCTTGGCTTATTATTTTTTAAAGATACCTTTTTCTTTCCGCTTTTTAATTTTTAAAGCACTTTTGATTTTTTGACATGACATGATGGTGCTAATAAGTATAACTAAGTAAACAAAATGATCTTACTGACAAAATGATTTATTACAAAACAATCAAAAATCGACATGTCAAACGTTACATGTCATACATCATTCGTTACATGTCACACGTCATGTCTCACGTGCTATGTCACTCGTTATACGTCACACGCCGCACTTCATACGTCAAACATCAAACATTGAACTTCAAACGTCAATGTTAACGGTTAATGTCAAATATCAAACGTCAAATGTCAAATGTCAAGTGTCAAATTCCAAATATTAAATGTCAAATGTCAAGCGTCACACGTCAAACGTGACATGTCACACGTCACACATCACGTCACACGTGATATGTTACACGTTATACGTTACATACCACACGACAAACGTCAAACGTCACACGTCAATGTAAAACTTTAAACGTAAAAATTTCTAATGTCAATTGTCAAATGTCAAATGTCAAACATCACACTTCAAACGTGACATATCACACGTCATACGTTATACGTCACACGTCACACTTCAAATTTCAAATGCCAAATGTCAAATGTCAAATGTCAAATGTCAAATGTCAAATGTCAAATGTCAAATGTCAAATGTCAAATGTCAAATGTCAAATGTCAAATGTCAAATGTCAAATGTCAAATGTCAAATGTCAAATGTCAAATGTCAATTGTCAATTGTCAATTGTCAATTGTCAATTGTCAATTGTCAATTGTCAATTGTCAATTTTCAATTGTCAAATGTCAAACATCACACGTCAAACGTGACATATCACACGTCATACGTTACACGTCACACGTCAGTGTCAAACGTCACAAGTCAAATGTCAAATGTAACATGTTGAATGTCAAATCGTGTCGAAGGCCTTCGCTAGGGTATGGCATGATGGCCTTTTGTCTAAGCTTCCAGCGTACGGCATTTCTCCTGTACTGATAAACTGGGTAAAAGACTTCCTGAGTGGACGGTCACTCCGAGTTGTTATCGATGGATGCTCATCAGAGCCTATGTCGACTAATGCCGGTGTTCCTCAGGGGTCTGTTCTCTCTGCAACTCTATTCCTGCTCCACATTAATGATCTGCTAGTGCCTGGTATCCTTGGGTATGCAGATGATAGCACAGTTGTAGAGAGATACCTGCCCAGTGCTCGGGCTAGTAAGGAGCTAATCCAGCGTACGAATGTCTCACTTCAGGTAGTTTCAAAGTGGGGCAAAACTAATCTGGTAACATTCAACGCCACCAAAACACAGGCGTATCTATTCACCGCCAAAAGGAGCCCGTTCACCTTGGCTCCTGCTTTTCGGGATGTATCCCTGGAGTGCACCGACCGCCTTCAGCTCTTGGGAATGGACATTGCTTCAAACCTCAACTTTGGGCGGTTCATTGAGTCCAGAGCCAAAGTAGCTGCTAGAAAACTCGGCGTTCTTGCAAAAGTCCGACGGTACTTCACACCGAGTCAGCTTCTAATGTTGTATAAAGCTCAGGTCCGATCGTGTGTGGAGTACTGCAGCCACATATTATGGGCTGGTGCTGCGAAATGCCACCTAGCGGCTTTGGATTCGGTGGAAAGGCGTGCAAAGAGGCTGATTGGAGATCCAGATTTGGTTGGGTCCAATATTCAAAGTCTCGAGCACAGGCGCAGAGTAGCCAGCCTTGCGGTTTTCTACAGGATACATTTTGGAGAGTGTGCCCAGGAATTGCACGATTTGATTCCGCCATCCCAATTTCACCTTCGGACATCCCGGCGTACGGCGAATATCCACCCCTACGTTGTTGAGACACCTGCGGCCCGGACTAAGCGTTTTGCCTCGTCATTTATACCGCGTACATCGAGGGATTGGAACAGTTTGCCGGCTGCAGTCTTTCCGTCCGAATACAACATAGGTGTCTTCAAGGCTAGAGTGAATAGGCTCTTAATAAACTAGTGCGCCTTACCATCAACGATTGCATCACTGCTTAACATCAGGTGGGATCGCAGTCAAGCACTGGTTTATTGCAAGTAAAAAAAAAATAAAAAATAAAATGTTAATGCCAATGCCAACGTCACACGTCTAACGTTAAGCTCAAAATTTATCAAATATCACACGTCACACGTCACGCGTGATATGTCATACGTTACATATACGTCATACGTCGCACGTCAATCGTCAAACGTCATTCGTCACATGTCAAACGTCAAACGTTCATGCCATGTCAGGCGTGATATGTCATACGTTACATATACGTCATCACGTCAATGTCAAATGTCAAATTTCAACTGTCAAATGTGAAACGTCAAATGTCAAATATCAAACGTCAAGGATAACATGTCACGCGTCAATGTCAAACGTCAAATGTCAAATGTCAAACATCACACGTCATACTTTACACGTCACACGTGATATGTTACACCTTATACGTCACACGCCGCACGTCATACGTCAAAAAACAAACATTGAACATCAAACGTCAATGTGAAACGTCAAATGTCAAATGTCAAACATCACACGTCAAACGTGACATGTCACACGTCATTCTTTACACGTCACACCTTATACGTCACACGCTGCACGTTATACGTCAAACAATGTGAAACGTCAAATGTCAAATGCAAAATGTCAAATGGCAAACATCAAACGTCCAACATCAAACGTGACGTATCAACGTCAAATTTCAAACGTGAC